TCGGAAAGCGCGCCCTGGAGCCGGTGGAGCGTCGCCTGCGCCTGGCGGACCTCGTACGGGGCCAAGAAGCGCACCGAGTCCGTCAGCAGCCGTTGCAGCTCCTGCAGCCGTTCCGCCGCCTCCGCCACCGCCTCCGCGTCCCGGTCCGGCCCGAGCAAGCTCTCCACGGCGTCTCGCTCTCGGGCGAAGGCGGCGGTGAAGTAGTCGCTCTGCTCCTCTTGCACCGTCTGCGCGTCCCGCTCCCGGCGCCGCCGCTCGGCCTCGTCTCGGCGCTCCGCTTCCCGCTGCTGGAGCCTCTCGGGGACCACAGGCGCAAACCCGCCCGTGAGGGGCGCTCGCCCATTCTCCGCCGGCACCGTAGCCTCAGAAAGAGCGTCCATCTTTCTTCGCCCGGCGCGGCCTCTCCCACCTCGCTCTAAGAAGAACGCTGATTGGCCTCTTCCTCCGGCTTCGCCTCTGAGCGGGGAAGGAACCTTGATGAGGGCATGGGCGTGGTCTTCTTGCTTTCTTAAAGGGGCCACGGCGAAATACTGTACTCTGAGGCAGGCGAGGCCGATGTAATTAATCCACTGACAGAGAAAGGCGGAAATGCGTGGGTGTGGTCGAGGCGGAATGAAGGGCGCTTTGAGCGGAAGGAAAGGATGTTATTGGTTCGGCTGCCAAATAAGGCTTTCAGTGCCAATGGTGTGTCAGTTGCTGCTGCCAGAAATAAATGGCAGAAGAACAGTTATAATGCATTGATCAGAGCTTGGAAATGGTTTGTTTGCTTTTTTTAATCGAAAATTTTCACAGTGGTGGCCTTTGGCCATGCTGAGCAGGAAATCTGGCACCTGCAGTCCGAAAAGTAACTTTTCCAAGCTCCGATATTCATCTATTGCAGCATGAACAAGCAACTTGAAAGATTACCGAATTGACTGTTTGGACTAAGCCTTTCACCGGTATAAGTAATGTATAGATACATTTCTGCCCTAAAGATTATTTTAAAATGCAAAATTTATATCCTCACATATAAGGAATCTATTGGAAATTACTTATTTTAAGATATTTTGAAAAATCCCCATCTCACCACCAGATTTTGCATCTTTCTCCTCCCACTCTTAAGTGGCAAGATTTTGGTTAATAGAAATTACTTATTTTAAGGCAGTTTTAAAGATATTTTGAAAAATCCCCATCTCACCACCAGATTTTGCATCTTTCTCCTCCCACTCTTAAGTGGCAAGAGTTTGGTTAATATTCTGTACTTCTGTAAATCTTTGTAAAATCTGAGCCACTGATTATTTTTTCGCATATGGGCTCCTGCTAAGTCTAAGGCAATGGCATAATAACATGGTTGACGAGAAACTACTGCTAGGATGGAATATGAAGAAACAATGGTTTTCCATAGTTAAAAGACACCCTTGTCTGACACTTTTGACTACGGGAAGCCATTCTACAGATAACACTATATTGAAAGCAGCAATGGCTTAAAATGACTTCTGATGAAAGTGAAAGGAAAAAGTGCCAAAGCAGGGCTGTAGTTGAATACTAAGACAAAAATAATGACTACAGAACCTATAACTCATTGGCAATGAAGGAAAAGAAATAGTTAAAGATATTGTATATATTGGTTAAGTCATCAAACCAAATAGAGACTGTAGGCAAGAAATCAGACAAACTTGGGAGGGCATTTATGAAGGAACTAGAAAGGATTATAGGCTTTAAGGATGTTTCACTAGAGACCCAGGCTAAGATCATCAATATGATTTTAGTTCCAGTTACTATGTATGGATATGAAAGCTGCACAGTGAAGAAAGCTGATAGAACATCCCTCACCCCCAATTGCTTCAGATTATGGTGCTGGAAGAAAGCTCATTCCTCACCCCCAATTGCTTCAGATTATGGTGCTGGAAGAAAGCTTTGTGGAGTGCCAGAAAGACAAAGAAGTGGGTCCTAAATCAAATAAATCCCATTTTTTTTCAAAGCAATAATGATGAAACTGAGACTATTGTACATTGAGCACATCATAAGGAGAGAAGTATGACATGTCCCTACGTGTCCGTAGATTATTTCACTAGCCTGAGGCCCACGACACGTTCACTCCTCTACGCTGCCACCAGTTGATCTCCATCAACAATGTTTAATTAGAAAGACTGAGGTCCATGCTGAGTGTAAAGTTGAACCAAACAGTTTATTGGTTTATCACATAAACAGGTTCTTCAAAGTCTTAAAATATTCAGTAGTTTTGTAATAACTTTTTTTACTCTTAACTCTCTTAACTCTTTGTAAGTTCCACACTCTTAACTGCCTCCCTTAACTCCTAACTCTAACACACACTCTAACTCCCCACTTCAGATTCTCATCTCTGACTCAAACTGACTAGCTAACTCCTCTGCCTCACCTCTCCCTTCTATTTTCTCTGGCTCCGCCTCCCAACAGCCCATTGGTGTATGCAAATAACCTCATACATGAGCCAAAGCAGGGTGATTGTCACAAGAAGACTCACTGAAAAAGACAGTAATGCTAGGAAAAGTTGAAGGCAGGAGGAAAAGAGGAAGATCAACTATTAGATGGATGGAATCCATAAAGAAAGCCACAGCTTTAAGTTTACAAGAGCTGAGCAGGAGTATTAATGATAAGACATTTTGAAGATCATTCATTCATAGGGTCAGGACATTTTGAAGATCATTCATAGGGTTGCCATAAGTCAGAAGTGACTTAATGACATGTAACACACACTCTGACAACTCTATGCTGCCATGACAGGTCAGTCCATGATGGAAGATTCCTGTGTCCTAAATATATATTTGCAAAACAGGTTCTATTTTTTTAGATAAGAATTTACACATGGTTGTTGTGGGTTTTTTTGGGCTCTTTGGATGTGTTCTGAACATGGCCAAAGAGCCCGAAAAACCCACAACAACCATTAGATCCCAGCTGTGAAAGCCTTTTTCTCCAGGTTTGTAAGAGTATGCATCACAGTTGTGATGACTCAGCTATGGAATATTCTACAGTACTTGCTGTTTTCTTTATTGAGTTGGTGACCAGAATACTGTTGCTGATTTCTTTTTGCCTAATGGAAATAATGTGAATCTTGGTGGTAAAGTGCCCTTAATTAATGAGTTGGTGGTTGCATTCCTGTGGTCATGTCTGACTGCATGACTGGGTCTGCAATAAGGAATGGAAACATCACCTTGTTAATTAGCAGCAATTTGCCAGCAAAATTTAAGTGAGTTTCCTTACACAAGTGTTAATTGTCAACAGAATTCTGGCCTACATGTTCTTGGAGTTCCTACTCTAATTAGAATTTTTAATGCTTTATTTACAATTGTACACTGTGCTCTGATACTCATATGGATGATGTGTTATTTCTAAGTGTTTTACTAAATAATAATAAATGATATTTTGAACTACAGTGGTGCCCCGCTTGACGATTACCCCGGTAGATGATGAAATCGTTTGACGATGACGTTTTTGCGATCACTATAGTGATTGCTAAACGATGATTCAAATGGTTTATTTCACTTCACAACGATGTTAAAACAGCTGATTGGCAGCTCTCAAAATGGCTCCCTGCTGTTTTGCTGACCTCATTTCACAAGACAGGGAGCAGAAAATGGCTCCCCTATGGAGGATCTTCGCTGCACGATCAGGTATTTCCCCCATTGGAACGCATTGACTGGTTTTCAATGCATTTCAATGGGTTTCGCTATACTGTACAGTGATTTTGCTGGAACACATTATCGTCGTCAAGCGGGGCACCACTGTACATTGTTACAGATACCACTGTGTCAGCAGTTTATATGCAGTTGACAGAAAAAAATCAATGGGCATGCCCATGCAAATTAAAGCAAGTGTCAGTGGTACCAAGAATATGCCTAAATCCATTGAAGTATGGACAAATATGTGCAGCATACCATAGCCCAGAGCTTTCTGGACCATAACTTTCAGAGCTCCCAGTCAGCACAGCGATTGATCATGCTGCCTTGAAATTTTGTGGAACTGCAGTTTAAAAAGTAAGTTTTCCAAACTGTATTATAGGCAGATGATTGAAACCAGTTGAAAAGAATAGCTGATGAAAATGTAGTTTTAAAAACATCTTTTTACTCTGATTTTAAACCATAATACCTGTATCTCAGGCCAAGATCAATGTTCTATTTCAAGTTGATCTTCCTGCTTGTGCCAGACTTGGGAATCCTTCTTCCCTCTTACAAACTTTCTGCATCCTAAAAACTGATTTTAGAAGGCTGGAAAATTCTCTGGAGCAGGATTTAACTCCCACAAAGGGTACTTCAGCAGGAGGGAAAGAGGAAGAATATCTCAGTGTTGAATGCAGAAATACACGAATGTTTACTGAAAGACACCATTGGGTTTAATGTTTAATACACATATACATTGCTTAATGTTTAATGGAAACAAATCCATATATATATTTTGGTATTACAAAATCTTAGGTGCTATCCACTAACTGTGGGGGAATGTGAAGTGCTTGACATGTTTTACTAAACCAAAGACACAACAAAACACAACTTTTCTTTGCTGTAGTGGTTCACATGTGTAGATATATGGTATATTTTTATGCTCACAGTGAGGGGTAACTGCCTGGATTTAACAGAATTCTTGCAAGCTGTAATTTTCTGTCTACGGATAGTCTCTATTTGGCTTTTATGTCAAATATAAAATTATAGCATTAGAGATTAGGGAGTTTTCCAGCCCTACATGCAGTAATACCAGTCTTTACAATTCCTCGGAGAAAAGAGTTGTAAAGGAAGGGCACCTAGCTTCTATCTTGATAGCTTACTTTGCAATGCTTCTCCAAAGCTTAACTATGATGGGTCCTGCAAGTGAAAGAGCAGTTCGGCTAGACATTGCTACAACTGCTAAACCATATAAAATTGATGATGTCTAGTAAGTGCATTCTGCTCTGCAACAGAATTGCAGTCATCTCAGGAGCAAAAATTATAAGGGCATAATAACTAAATGATTTAAATTTCCTTCTTGTAATTGATTTCTGGCGCACAGGAAGTAATAGCTTGTTTTGAATAGGATATAGAAGGGCAATGTAGTTTTTAGTGCATTACAGCACTTAGCTGGCTCAGTGCTCACAAGTTAATGGATTCCTGTTTTTGGTTTTTAAGAGAGCATGAAAAGACTGCGATTCCTATCAGCAGTGTCTCTTATGGTTGTGCTAGTGCGGATGGAAACATATATAAAACCTTATAAAGCTCTGGAAAACCCACTTACGCAGAAAGAAGCAGAATGTTTTGCTTTCATATGCAGGCTGTTATGCTGGGCAGGAAGGATATATGCTAGTACTCCTTTTTCTCTTAACATTTAAAATCCTTTAAAAATATTTGTATGACTTAACTTCTTAGCTTTCAAATATTGTCTTTTTAATTATGTAAGCTGCCTTGAGTCCCTATTTAGGAGAAATGCAGGGTAAAATATTTTCAATCAATCAATCAGAAAATACACTTTTTTATTTCATTTGCACCCACTCACTGGGTTTTTATTGAGTGATTTACCAGAACCCAAGATCCTCTTTCTGATCAAGTCATTGGCATCAGCATATATGTATCAATATACATCACTTTACACTCGCTCATACTGCATCATCCCTTTGCTATTTTAGGGCCCATTTTTGTAGTTTGAAAGGATATTTACAATCACTTTTTGTTCTCAGCATCCTCAATAATGGACACTTAACTATTTATCCGTAACTTCAGACCAGTGAAGAGTAGGCACCACATATCCTTGATGGACCCCACTGCTCATATCCATCCATAGTGACAACTGACCATTTATTCCTACCTATTGCATGTTGTTGTTTGACCAGTTGACTACAAGGGAACTCTTAGGAAATTGCGAACCAGTCTGATCCTGTTCTGTGCTCAATCTGGCTATTTTTTGGTCCGGCAATGGGCTGCTTTTTTTTTCTGGATTTGGGCTAGCGTGAAGGGGACTGGATTGCATATGCATGTAAGTGTCACTTTAAAGATCACACAAAGCAAAGTGACCCTTTCCAGTGTGATCCAACACGATCCAGCTTCCCTTTTTGATCATACCCTAAATTTGATAATATTGTCACCCTTGTTTCCAGTTGGATCAACCACACCTATGTATCACACTAGACCCTAAACAGTATCATTTAGGACCAAGTCGAGGGTCACAAGCAATATGAGAGAGGAACTGCTGCTGTATGCAAGCTTTCTGGTTTAGCTATCCTATCGCTGGGCTCTGAGGGCTCCTCAGTGCCAGGCACTGTTGATGAGCTATGCAGGGAAAATGGCCTGTGAATTCCATGGACAACCCACAAAGAGGTCCTCAGAGCCTGTCAGTTGGAAAACAGCTGAGTGTGTATATGGAAAATAGTATGCTCAACCTTGTTCTCCAGAGATCATTTCCACAGCTTAGACAGGGAAGCATTTTCAGCAGAGCCAAAAGTTAGGGCTGAAGCACCTGAAGTGGAACAGGGGTAGGAAGAACTGAAGGAGACAGAGATGGGGCAAGAAAGAAGTTGCAGAGATGAGGAAAAAGCCCTGAGATCTTTGGAGATGCAGTGTTCAAGTGGCAGGAGAGTTTGAGCCTCTCTGATTGATTCTACAATTATCTTAGGATACAGTATTGAGGATCCGGAGTAGGAGGGTCTTTTTGCACCAATGTTCTGCTTACAGGCTTCCCAATGGCATAACAATACAAATGGAATGCTGGACTGCATAAGTCTTTGGTTTGATACAGATTTGATCTTCTAATGCTCTTTTGGCTGTCGGGTCATCTTTAGTCTTGATGGGTTGGGAAATGTTTATACCTATAAATAAACCAATCTTGTTTCAGATAGTTTCCATCTAAGAAGCCTTCAAGAGTCTGCCTTAGTCTCAAGTCTTTCATGACAAGTACTTTAGTTCACAGAAAAGTGTTTAAATCAAAAGACCAGGTCACAATCAAATATGTATTGTGATTTAATTATTGCTCCATACTCTTCCCTCAAATTGCTCATGATTTATTCTTTTCCTACCACATAGCACAAGACTCCCATCCTAGTCATAATCAATTTATCTGTATGCAGTATCATATTTTCCACAAAGCACTGAGCTTAAAGTGATTCCCCAAAACAAATAATAATAATCTTAGTACTGCAGAGCTGGAAGGGACCCTATGGATCACTGAGTCCAGCTGCTGTAAAGGAGGCACAGTGGGGAATTGAAGCCAAATACCTAAACCACTGAGCTATTCAGCAATTCAACACAATTTAAATTATTAAAATTGTGATACAGTATAACATTAACCCATCATAACACATGATAATGGGTGGAAGTACCCTGATATGTTCTGTACCTGAACAAAGGACATACATATTAGGTTTTATTTTCTCTGTACCCTTTAGGAGACAATCCAATCTGCTCCACTGGTCAATATGTGACAACGGCCAGAATCCTACTGGTATTCGTGTAAGCTTTGTATAAGTTAATTCATGAGGTGCCAGGTTGTGTCTCAGTCATATGCTTGATCAGATACCCAATTGTGCAACTGAGAAGTACCCCAGCATCTTGTCGATTAGCAGCAATTAGCTGCAAGTTATGCAATTCTCACATGAACACCAACAGAATTCTAGCCATCATCTGTGCTCTCCATCTCTCTCCTTAAAAAAAATCTTATGGCAAGGGGTCACAAATGGTTATGAGCCAGACAATTCCATCAGATTTGGGGACATGGTAGGGAGGGGTACAAATAATCTAAAAAGTCAAACAATTCAAAAAGCTGGGCTGAGTACAAAGGTCTAATGAGTTAAGGAAGCTGGTAGAGGAAGGGCACCCTATGGTGCCTCACTGGTCACCCTACGGCACTCAGGGCAGCAAGGAGTGCTTGGTATTTGCACAACTACACAAGAAAGTGGAAAAAAAGTAAAGGGGAGAAACATCACCAAGGAAGACACAAGCTAACAACCTAATTGTATGGCTTATCCACTCACAGCAAAGTCCTTCTACAATCAAACCCTTAATACTAAATAATACAGTATTTCACTACATTTAGTAAATTTATCTGAGGGAAAGAACAAAGAACAGGAACAAAAATGCTCTCTAGATAGCAACACAAGTCTTTCTCTTTGCCATATGGCTCCATAAAGCGACTGAGGAAATGGATGCAAAGAGACATATATACTGTGTGGTAACCTCAGTCTGAGACACCGCCCCCCAGTGCCTCAAGATTTGGAGCTCAGGGACATTTTGGGTTTTATTGAGGGAGTTTGGCTGTAACCTGCCTTCTTCTATAGTGTCTGCAGCTCAGTCTAGTGTGTTATTTTTGATTTCCCTTTTCCTTAGTTCAAAGCAATGAGCATATTTTTAGTAACATGAAGGCCGAATGGGATATGAATAATCCCTGTGGTGTTCCTCCACCCCATAACAGCCATGGAATTGCACGTAAATCCTTAATTTGGTCTGGTTTTGCACACTTGTCCAAAGATAGTACACAGTACCTTATACATATAATACATTTTAAATTTAAAATTAATGTAGAAATTTCAAAACTTAAAAAGGAACATCATATCTTGGTCTATTAATAGCTACTATGGAGAAAGTCCCACATCTGTCTACCCTAAATGCTGCCCATAATTACCTGACTACTGCTGGCTTTCCAGTGAAGTTCACACACTGGAGGAAATGTGGTGTCAGTTTCTGACACAGTTTAGAACTAAAAGGGAAAATTAGTAGTACGTTGCTGTACACATACAAGTTTGTGTTCTTAGAAATATGAACTTGAACACAAATGAAATGTTTCTTTGAAGAACATACGCAAAACCCCTTAGTTCTCTTCAGAACACCAGAACCTATACAGGCAGAAGATGTGAGCCTGTCCATGAAAGCTAACATTAAAATATAGCAGTAAGTCTTTAAGGTACTACGTTTTTGTCTTATTTTATCTTGCCCAACATGGTAGTACAGACTGACAGGGCTATCTTTTCTGAAACAATATCCATGCTATGTTGATGTACTGCTGGGCAAGATTTTCCCAGTTGTTCTTCTCTCAGCCTTAGTATTTTCCACCAGAAAGCAGATGGAGGAATAGAAAAGAAACACCAACTGGTTTTTTCCCCACTATATGGAAGAAAACGATGGGTTGAAGACCTGCATCTGTTCATAGGTGGTGCAAAAATACAAGGTTAAAATGTAGCCATACATTCGTCTTCCTTCACATAGGTGAGCAGGAAATGTGGGTAATTGTCTCTGCTTCAATTATGAAGCTGCCTAGAGTGGTCTTAACCGACCAGATAGGCGGGATATAAAATAAATAAATAAATAA